TTCTATCCTCTCCTGCTCCTCGACCTCTCCGGGGCCTTCGACACTGTTGACCACCCTCTCCTCCTTGCCAAACTGCACTCCCTTGGCATCAGGATGCTGCTGCTCTCTCCTGGTTCTCCTCCTACCTTTCCCAACGCTCCTTCAGCGTCACCTACAACACTACCACCTCCCCTCCCCCCTCCCCCCTCTCTCTGTCGGGATCCCCCCAAGGCTCTGTCCTCGGGCCCCTCCTCTTCTCCATCTATACCTCCTCCCTTGGCAAACTTATTCACTCCCACGGCTTCAATTACCACCTCTATGCCGACGACACCCAAATTTACCTCTCCACCCCCCACTCACCTCCCCTCACCGCCACCCCCTCTCTCTCTGCCCGCATCGCCCACCTCCTAAACAACATATCAGACTGGATGTCGCTCCATTTCCTCAAACTTAACCTATCCAAAACCGAGCTCCTGGTCTTCCCCCCACCCCGCGCCCCCCCCATCCTCTCCATCACTACTAACAACGCCACCATCTCTCCCACCCCACACGCCAAAGTCCTGGGTGTCACCCTGGACTCCCACCTCTCCTTCCTACCCCACATCCAACTGCTATCTAGATCTTGCAGGCTCCACCGTCCGCAACATCTCCAAGATACGCACATTCCTCACCCCAGACACCACCAAACAACTCGTTACACTCCCTCATCATCTCACGCCTGGACTATTGCAAACTCCCTTCTCACTGGCCTACCTAAATGAACACTATCCCCACTCCAGTCTATCCTCAACTCAGCAGCTGGACTCATCCACCTCACCAACCGCTCCACATCTGCCTCCCCCCCCTCTGCCAATCCCTTCATTGGCTCCCAATTGCCCCAACGCATCAAATTCAAACTGCTAACCCTGACCTACCAAAGCCATTCACAACACCGCCCCAAACTACATAACTGACCTGATACCCAAATACTACCCTACCCGTGCCCTCTGCTCCTCACAGGACCTCCTACTCTCTAGCTCCGTGGTCTCCTTCTCCACACCCGATTGCAGGACTTCTCTAGGACTCCCCCCATCCTCTGGAACTTCCAACCCCAATCCATCGACTGTCACCCACCCTCCTCACCTTCAGGCACACCCTGAAAACCCTCCTCTTCAGGAAAGCCTACCCCAACCTCACCTAACACCTGTCCTCACCTAACAACCTCCTCCACTCCTCCCACCACTCCATCCACACACAGCCATCTCCTCCTGTATCACCTTCCCCTCCCTCCTAGATTGTAAGCTCGAAAGAGCAGGGCCCTCGAACCCCTCTTGTATTGTATTGTTACTGTCTTGTCTCATGTTCTGTCCCCCTTGCTACTGTACAGCACTGAGCATACCCTTTGGTGCTATATAAATACTGTATAATAATAATAAAAATAATAATAATATATAGATATATATATCACTAGAGGGGTCACCAGTAGGAGGAAGGTTTCTTTATGTAGATCTTTAGTTGGACCTCATTTAGAATACTGTGTCCAGTTCTGGAGACCTCACTTAAATAAAGATATTGATAAGATAGAACAAGTCCAAAGATGGGGAATAAAAATGGTGAAAGGTCTGGGGAGGATAAAACATATCAGGAGAGACTTCAGGAACTTAACATGTCCAGTCTGGAGGAAACAAGGGAAAGGGGAGACATGACTGAAACCTTTGAATACATGAAGGGGGTGAATAAGGTTCAGGAGGGCAGGGTTTTCAATATGAAACCAAAATGAAGAACACGAGGACATGACCTCCAACTAACTGGAGGAAAGTTCACAACTAATCTCAGAAAGTATTATTTTACTGAAAGAGTAGTAGATGCTTGGAGTAAATTTCCAGTAGAGGTAATGAGCCAGTGACAAATCACAGAGATCATCACAATAGTACACAATGAATGGCTATGATGTCATGTGATCACTGTGATTGGTCATAGCAATCACATGGTACTGGGCTGGCCTGGTACAATGATCTGTCATCTGGTGGACACAGCAGGCGACATATCAAGATACAGCAGAGCCACTAGACTTGGAGGACTTCATATGATGTCCACCCAGGATGGGAGAGATCCCACTCAGCTGTCATTCTGCTATAGGCCTGGTGGGAAGCAATTCATTACAGGGGACACTGTACAGGTTCTATATGTAGTCTCGGGGTCCCTGTGGAAGTTCATGTGTGGACATTTCTACCTATGATAAATGACAGTCTAAACCCACCTGGAGACTTTCTCCACACCTGGAGTGTGCTGAGTTCTTGGAGAACATCTACACAGTGTTTCCAGATTGGCTTTATCACCCCAACGAGCTCGCTCCAGTTCATGGATGTTGTCACGGTATGGGAGCCTGCCAATTGTTAATCCCCTTATTAATGCCTTGTATCATATGCCCTCAGAGTCCTGCTCTGTATTGTTCCAATTGTCCCCTGTGTCACTAGGTCAAATGGCCTAATCAAATTACTCTGGGCCCCCCTCCCTCCCGGCCAGCTGCACATCTCCCAACTTTTCATCTATGCAGACATCATCCCTGCCCCGCAGGATGTCCCTGTAACCAGCCTGATTCTCCCTGGGGTCTAGTATTACCTCCCCCCCTCCCGGTTGCCAAGGCGACCGGGGAGCGTCCTGCAGCAGTTTAAGAGGCTGATGCTAGGAGCTCCATTATTCATTCCGGTGTGCAGTCAGCAAAGGATCTCAAGCTCCGGTGAGATCTTTCTGACTAGACTCTGCAAGTCTACTCCCCAGCCTCACAGAGACCCCACAGGAGGGAAGAGGCGGCAGAGAAAGCTTGCCTGCGATTGCGAGAGACCCCACAGAATGGAAGAAGAGACTTCCACAGCCCATCTGCCAGAGCCAGAGGCAACCCGCCTGCTCCGGACTCCACAGGTACCTGCGTTCTGCTTCTACCCCTGGGAGACCAGGCACCCTGTTGGATCTGTGAGTACCTGCTTCTCCACTGTTACCTGAACTGTTGCGGTGGGGTGACTCCTCGCACCCCCTCCTGTGTCGGACTACCCCTGTTACAGGGACACCCCCTTGGCTCTCCTAGTGGACTATAAGTGGGTGGGGCCCCCTTGTTACCATTTAGTGGCAAATCCACCCTCTCTGCCACCCCCCCCCCCGTATTGAAGGACTGCCATCTGTTTGTCTCAATAAAGCTTTGTGCGTCTGCCATCCACTCTATGTGTTCTGTCCTGCCTTTCCTCCGTCACAGATGTCATCATTATGATTGGAGGATCTCACCAGTCAGGAGCCTTTCCTGTCATCCATATGATCAAACAATGGTGCTGCACTCCCGTGCTAATTAATTATTATACTGAAAATAAAGTGAATCCATAAAAAACTACAATTGTGTCAAAAAAAGAATTATTATTTAAATCATCCTAAAATAAAAAATATATATATATCCAAAAAAATATAAATTTCCTCACACCATAAATCATATATCCCATCTACATGTGTCCAGAAACATATAATAAAGAAAAGTCCTCCTTTCATGAAATCGTATCAAAACTAAAGATGGATATATTCCAGACACTTAGATGGCTGCTGCATGAATAATGCTCTATTGTGCGCTCACCTCCTTTTCCAGCTCATTTTTTGTGGCTAAAATAGGGCTGGAAAAGGAGGTGAGCGCACAATAGAGCATTATTCATGCCGCAGCCATCTAAGTGTCTGGAATATATCCATCTTTAGTTTTGATACGATTTCATGAAAGGAGGACTTTTCTTTATTATATTTTTCTGGACACATGTAGATGGGATATATTATTTATGGTGTGAGGAAAATTTATATTTTTTTGGATATATATATTTTTTTTTTATTTTAGGATGATTTAAATAATAATTCTTTTTTTGACACAATTGTAGTTTTTTATGGAATTACTTTATTTTCAGTATAATAATTAATTAGCACGGGAGCGCAGCACCATTGTTTGATCATATAGTAGATATTAACACTATTCATGAGTTGGTGTAAGGTGTTAGCGAACCAATTTGTGCATAATTAAAAGGTGGTTTGTTGTTTTGGTTATTTCACTTTCTGAATTTCACCATATTAGCTCAAGAGTAATTATTAGCACTTGATTGAAAACTCACTCACTTTCCTGTCATCCTACATGTTCCCTTCTGAGGATTGTTCTATCCTTCCAAACAAATGTATGAAATCATGGATGAGTCCTCCTTCTATGTGATCTAGAAGATCTTCAATCACAATGTCTTCATGGATGAAGTGGATGGCCCAGTTTATATATTATTTATTGCTTTACAGCTTTATTCCCTCCAGGATTCATTCTTTATTTATAGAACCATTCAAGGAAGTGTTCTTACTTTGAGAGATCTCCACCACCATTCCTCTGTGACCATTACAGCCTTGTAATTTATATCTAACATCTTCATCATGAGTGGATTGCAAAATATCTTTATACTTTAGTATGTATTTTTGCATTTTTTACCCAAAATGATCTGTTTAGGAGGTCTCTGATTTATTATGTATACCTTTGTTTTTATTATCTTGTGTTCTGTGTCTTTAAGACTTTTCTATCTGTTGTAAAATATATTTTTCAAACACTTGGTTGCATAAGAGTTAGGTTTATTGTTTCTTACATTTTTTTTAGTTATTTGGCACTTTCCTGGTATCCCTGTAAGGTAGATACAATACAGGAATAGTTATTAGGAGACATTTCTCGGGGCTGCAGTTCCTCTGAACTCCACAAGATGGAGATCTCATTTCTCTCCACATAGGACTTCTCTATGGAATACAGACAGGAAGTGATGTCAGGTGCAGACAGGAAGTGATGTCAGGAACAGACAGAAAGTCATTTGGAATAAAGATAGGAAGTTCCATTTGATGTGAAGGAGTTTCGGAGACGTTGGTGGACGTGGCAGGAGAGGAGGTAATAAGATGATGTTATGTTCTATTTACACCCAGTAACCCCCCCGTCATGTCTGTCCTCTTCCTCCATAGTCAGTGTGATGTCTTTTATCTCCAGCAGATGATGATACACATCAATATTTAGAACGGACACAAGGATCTCTACAAGGACGTCATGATGGACAATCAGCCGCCCCTCACATCACCGGTAAGAGGAGACTTTATTGTAAAGGAGAGAGCAGTACGGAGGATCCACCTAGATCCCCCATCATCTGATAAACACATAGAAACAATGGATTCAGTCAGTGTGTGTGTTTCCTACAGATGGATCCAGTCATGGGAACCCACCAGAGAGATGTCCCCGTCCTCTGTATTCCCGGATTTTCCACACAGGAAGGTCCACACCATCCCTCATCATCATCAGGTAGATGAGGAACAATCACTGATAGTATCATTAGGATCTGTACATTATCTGCATTGTTACCATTGATGTCATTTTTATTATATTTTCAGAGTGGAAACCTGAGAGATCCTAAAGTTGAGGCTAAAAGAAGAGATAAAAGAGGAGGAGGAAGAGGATGGGGGGATGGAGGAGTCAGAGCTTCTAAAAGGAACACAAAGATCTGTACCAGGACACCATGGTGGAGTCATCCAGCTACAGGAACCCACCAGAGAGATGTCCCCCGTCCTCTGTATTCCGGGATTCCACACAGGAAGGTCACACCATCCCTCACCATCATCAGGTAGATGATGACAATTATTGGTAGTTGTGATTTATACACAGCATGTTTGTTACAATGAATGTTTTATTATATCTTTCAGAGTGGAATCCTCGGGGATGATAATATTGATGTTAAAGAAGAGTATAAAGAGGAGGATGAGGAGTATGGAGTGATGGAGGAGTTTTTTCAGAAGGACACAAGGATATGATGGAGCCACCTAATACCAGGAACCCACCAGAGAGATGTCCCCGTCCTCTGTATTCCCGGGATTCCACACAGGAAGGTCACACCATCTCTCACTATTACAAGGTTGGTGGGATGGAGCATCTAGAACATGGACTTGTAGAGACAATGTGTGGATATTTTATGTGAGCTCATATTTTACAGATGATATTTTTCTCTCATTTCCTTTATTTAGAGTGGAGATCCAATTGATATAGAATTTGAGGTGAAATCAGAAGAAGAAGAGGCGTATGTGAGGGATGATCAGCAGTCTATGGAGGAGGATGGAATAACCGGGGACATTTATAGAGGAGGACACTCCTACAGAGATCAGCACAGGTGGGTCATGAACACTAAATCCATTCCTCCACCCATACTGCTCACTGATTGGTCCAGAGTAGGGCGGGGACTGGGTGATATCAGCCTGTAATCCCCTGGTCACTTTCCTGAGCTGTGTTCCCCGTCCTGTATTCCTGGATTTCTCTCGGATAATCTTCCTTCTCTGTGCTGCAGACACAATTTATGTATCTAGACTGAAATTATGTAGGTTCTGGGGTTTCAGCTGGAGAAAAATGGACGAAATTGTGGATTTTTTACTTATTAGCATTGCATAATGTAGGCATCCCAGGACATGTGACTGGGCGTCTCCTGCCATGTGCCTGACTCTCTCCAGGGGAACCTTTCTCTGTTATCTGTGCTGGCTGTGCCCGGTGGAGGGATAAGTCCTGTCTGCCTATATATTTTTTTAATTACACATTCTGATAATGATATAGTCCTAACTTTGTACTTTAAAAAATTGTAACTACTAGCCTTATTTTTTTACACCCATTTCCCACGCTGGAATTTTTTGGATGATGTGTTGGGCACAGCTTTTACATTATAATAAATTTAAAAACCCCCCCTTTGGGCCCTTAAAAAGGGTGATAAATTTGGGGGGGGGGGGCAATACCCCTGAGGTGGTCTTGGATCGTTCAGTCTTCCCTTTGGTTTTTATCCCCTCTCATCTTGATTGGTGGGCTCAGCCCCGCTGTTCTTAGACTAAATCTGGAGTAATAAAGGAAGTGCAGTACTTTTGTGTTTGGAGTGGCGATGAGTGATAGGGGGGGGGGACCCTGTATAATCCCCCCATCCCGCCCTTATAAAAGACGTTTGGTTGTTTTCCCCACCCTTTTAAGGGCATGAAAAAAGAATGACCCCGGGGAGGAGATCAGGGAGCTTTTCCCAGTTCCTTTAGGTGGAATTGTAGTCCCCAGGCCAAGTGTGATGGGGGGGGCGGTTTGGGGGAACAATCAGCTCTGTTAGAAACCTTTTGTTTGTTTTTTGTCAGGGGGGAGATGAGGGAAAACCCCCGAGGATTTTTTCAATTTGTCTCCCGATGGAAAATAGAGATGGGAATAACGTATAGTAGGAGAAAACCCAGCTCCTCAAGTCCTCGGCAACCATGAGATGGCCGGT